TCCATAAACTTAGAACAAGAGCTAGATTCATAGAAAATGGTGATTGGAGTGTTACATGGTTCATATATATGTCCAATTTCAATATTATTGACGCTTGTAGTGTGAAATTATAAATATTTAGAGTTTTAAGTCAGAATTTTGGTGGAGAAAATCGTAGAAATGGACATTATTGATATTTAGATCTATTATTGATTTTTGGCTGAAACAAATTGATTATCTATGGAGTTATGGACTATAAAACCCAGTCTTTTTTTTGTCATTTTTTCTTATACGTCGTTTCATTGATCTTAACAGTCTTTTTGTCCTTGATTATTTTTTGAAGACAAATTATGTAATTTCCATCAACTATTCTTCTTGGCAGCTACTTCATTTCAATATGGCCTCTTTGATATAATCATATGATACTAATTATGATATAACCTATTTATCTGTATGATACTATCTTATATTAATATTCTTGTTTTAGTAATTAATCATTTAACATATTCAATGCCCCACCCCATCCCTTCTAACCGCAATATTAATTATTAGATAAGTCTGAACCAATACTTGTAAGAGCGACGTTAACAGATAAATTGTTAGATATATAGACTAAAACCCCAGTCTTTTATTTTCTTTTTTCTTAAACGTAGACTTTTTTTTTTGTCAATTACTAATTTCATGTTGGACAAGCCATATTAATAAAGAAAACCCCACTTCATACATATCCTATGATAAGTTATATATGCCACTCACATCATTAGCAAAGACTTTTTGTTTTCGAACTACTAAACTCAAAGTTGAATTTTTTTATTATTCCAGAACTTAACCATATCTTTTTCTCCAAACCCTTATTATAAATAGACAACGAAACCACCCTCATAACTACAAAACACACATAAACACATAAAGCATTTGGCTAAAGCCTAAAGAGCCTCTACCAAAATGAACGATCATACTGAGATTCTCCGAACCTCACCTATTGTAAAAGCTTCATACTGGTTTGTGAAGCCGGAAAATGACTTCCCGGCCGGAATCATTGACTCAACTCTCTTCACCCACCTTTTCTGCGCCTTCGCTGACCTCGACTCTTCCACCCATGAAGTCACTATCTCCCCCGCGCACTTATGCGAATTCTCCAGCTTTACCAAAACCGTCCAAGAGACAAACACCAACGTGCAAACTCTCTTGTCGATCGGCGGTAAAAGCGCAGACACATCTGTGTTTGCGTCCATGGCAAGTAACACCGCTAACCGGAAAGCCTTCATTGATTCTTCGATCGATATTGCTAGGAAGAAGGGTTTCTATGGCCTCGACTTAGCTTGGGAGTATCCGAGCAATGATGTGGAGATGTCCAACTTTGGGAAACTCCTGAAAGAATGGCGAGAGGCAGTTGTGGAAGAGTCTGACAAAACTAATCAACTGCCTTTGCTGTTGACAGCTGCAGTATACTACTCCCCAGATTACTATGGTGAGCAGTACCCGGTTCAAGCCATTGCCGACAATTTGGATTTTGTTAACATAATGGCCTATGATTTTTATGGACCGGGTTGGTCCCCAGTGACCGGACCACCCGCAGCGCTATATGATCCTTCCAACCCAGCAGGTATAAACCATATCTAAACCCGTAACATAATTGCAGTTTTACCGTACTATATCAACATTAAAAAAAAAAAAAAGAGAGAACGAAACTGAAGTTTACAGAAAATAAATACTTACATCATTCATCTACGATTTCAGAACAAAATCATGAAATATGTTATCATGGTTTGATTTAAATAACAGGTTTCTGCATTATCTCTTTTACAATTATTTTTAAAAAAGCATCATTTCTATATTTTTATTTAAGAATAAGTTTGCGAGTTTTGTTATATTTACTTTCCTAAAAAAAAAAATTTGATATAGGATCTTAACTAAAATCCTTTTACATATAAATTTTGCACTCAAAACCATTTTATCTAATAGAAATGTAAAACTGAATTATATAGGTCGAAGTGGCGACTCCGGGTTGAGTCAGTGGCTTGAAGCTAAACTTCCGGCGAAGAAAGCAGTGTTAGGGTTCTCATACTCTGGTTGGGCTTGGACTCTCGAAGACGCCGAGAATAACGGCTATGATGCAGCCACCGATGGAGCAGCGATATCACCCGACGGTTCTATAACATATGAAAAGATAAGGAACTATATTGTCGATAACGGAGCAGCCACATTCCATGATCCGGCGGTGGTCGGATTCTATTGTTACTTCGGAACCACGTGGATTGGTTACGATGATAATCAGAGTATTGTGTCTAAAGTGAGATACGCTAAGCTAAAAGGTCTACTTGGTTACTTCTCGTGGCATGTTGGAGCTGACTATAATTGCGGTCTCTCTCGTGCAGGTTCGTTTTCATTTTCACTTTCTTTTTTTTTACTATATCGCTGAATTTCAATGATCACTTTCGGAAATTACCGTGCTGCAAGTTTTGGTGATACTATATATTTGAATCTGTTTAATATATTATTTGGAAAAAAGAACTATTTAGTATCGGATCAGATTAACAGTTGTGAGTTTTAAATGACTTTGGGTGGTTTTTACAGCATCTATAGCATGGGACACTACAGAACTATTCACCGGACATGGAAATGAAGCAGCCGCAGAATAAAAATCCAAGCCGAGTTCTGACAACGACGAAAAGTGAAAAATAAATTATTGTAAAATCAAATAATAAATTATGTGTGCTTGTCTAATTGTAAGAAAAATAAAGACTTTTGCTTATCTCTTAAAAAAAACCCATGTTTGCTTATATTATTGTAAAATCAAATAATGAAGACGTTTACTTTTTCTTGTACCACATGGTGGTTTGTTTGAACTTTGAAGTTGTGTTAAAGAATGTTACAATTTCATTTTTATGAAATAAGCATTCAAACAGGAGTGAAATAATCAATTTGTCCATGTTTTCGAAAAAATAAAAAGAAGAGCCTACATATTTGGAACCATGTGAAAATATTTAAATATCAAAAATATAATCGACCAGTTGACACGTTTTAAATTTAATATATTAATTGATTATAATTTAATACATGTTGATTTCTAATAAAACACAAGTATGAGTGTTTTAAGGGTTTGATTGATTGTCAGCTAAATTTTATAATAACGAAACACCGGAGTAATTAAATCGCGGAAAGAGTTGAACTTGATAAAGTTTTTGTGAAATAATAAAAAAACACTAAAAAGTAGTTTTAGCATATTTAATACGCTTGTCATATGCGTAATAACTTTTCTAAAACTTTTTTTTTTTTGATAACCCAGTATCCAGACCACACAGTGATCTGACTAGCCCACTGGGCCTAAGCCCGCGTCACAAGGATTTTTAAGCCTCCACTTAAGGGCCCCCTGATAAACTGGTGGTCTGGGGCGCCTGAGCAAGTCCGCAGGTAAATTCCCAGGTGGTCACAGGAGTGAGAGAGCGAAACTGCGTCTGGGGAGGATCGATCCCTGGCCTAGACCAACAGGGCGATCCTTCCAACCAAACGAGAACCACTCGCCCACCACCATGTGGTTAACTTTTCTAAAACTTAAAACGTGAAGAACTGATGATGGCTATTCTGGTAAAACTTCGGAATAATGTTTTCAAATCGTAAAAACGTGAAGAAAAATGGCCATTGTATACCATTTATCAGCTGACTGTTGAATGAAAAATGTTGTGCAAAGTGATGTGCCAATTCAACACCTTATTCTGGACTTTATGTTCTTCTTCTAGACCAAACCATCTGATCATGGTTTCATTTAGATGAGTTACGATAACGTACATATGGTCAACCCGGTCAGTTTCAGAGGAACTTTGTTCCACTCCAAAATATTGCCAACGAGTTGATATACGATTTGCTTTCAAGAATCATTGATCAAAAGATCATAACAATTGGACCAATGAGCTCCTTTGCATTTTATGATCTGGTTGCACACATACAAAATATACAATCGATTTCATGGGCGATCAAAACAGGGTTATACAACCGTCTCGATGCTTGGATTATAGTAGGCTACTTTAATGAACTCCAAAAATATTCAAAGAAAGTAGGGGATTTTAAGAAACTAAGTGATTTCAGACGGAATTCTGATGAAACCTAACGGTTGGTTTTGAAGCGTCAGAAAAGATGTTTGTCAAAAATCTGTTGGCCATTCCCAACGAATTTTTCATGACAACGACAGTTGTCAGAAAAAGTGTCGGGAATCCGTCGAAAATTTTCCTGACGACCTTTTCTGCTATCCATGCGGATTTGGTCGGGGTTCAAATTCATATGAATTAGAGAATAAAGTAGTTAGCGTCTGCCGTCTGATAAGAAACGATACACGAGTCTTATAGGAATTCCTCTATTGATATAATTAATATCCAATTTAGTGAGTAATGACAATAATATTGTAATACATGTGAACCAATAATACATTGTTAGACAAATAGACTTGTTAGATATATGGACTATAACCGAGTCTTTTTTAATTCTATATATGGACTACATCGAAGTCTTTTTTTAATTATTCTTTCTAATAGTGGAAGACTTTACTTTTTTTTGTATTAATTTCGTGTTGGACAAACTATCATATAAAAATTCATACTTGGTAAAATGTACATATGTTGTTGATTTAAAACATATGTTGTTATTTATATATTCTTGCCAACATTAATTAAAAGTGGGAGTAGTCAAACCAAAAAAATTATCGTTATATTATATGTTTAAATCTTCAACCACTTCATGAATCATGACTACCATAAATTAATTTTAAACTTATAAGAGATTTGTGAAAAAAAAATAAAAATACATCAGCTATGATAAAAATGAGCTTCTAAATGGTGCGGTGTGGTGTGGTGTCACAGTCACAACATTAACAAAGACTTTGGAAGTCTTTCTTTGAAAATCAACTTAAATCCACTAACCAATATATAATCCTCCTTAATTCAAAGTTGAATTTGTCTTTTCTTTTAATATTTAAAATACCTCTTCCCAAATTCCCTATAGATAGAGAATGAAAGCACCCTCTTAGATTTTATATCACTGCAAGGCACAACAAACAAAGTAACATAGATAGCATTTCGTAAAACTCTGTCAGACAAAAATGTGTACGGAAGTAGTTAAAGCATCGTATTGGTTTCCAGAAGGTGTATCCCCATCCACCGGAAGCGTAGTCCCAGGATCCTCAGCCGTGCTAATAGATTCAACTCTCTTCACTCACCTTTTCTGCGCCTTTGCCGATCTTGACGCTCAGACCAACAGCGTCGTTGTCTCCAGCGCTCACGAACAGGAATTCTCGAACTTCACTAAGATCGTCAAGCAGAAGAACCCTCACGTGCAGATCCTCTTGTCAATAGGCGGAAGAAACGCAGACAGATCCGCGTTTGCGTCCATGGCAAGTAACCCCACCTCTCGTAAATCATTCATTTGGTCTTCGATCTCCATCGCTAGATCTTATAAATTTGACGGCCTTGATTTGGCTTGGGAGTACCCAAAAGATGAAGTGGAGATGAACAACTTTGGTAAACTACTTGAAGAATGGCGAGAAGCTGTTGATGATTATATTGAACGCACTGAAGGTATCCATTTTTTGTTGACAGCTGCGGTTTATTACTCATCCGAGTACAATTCTGTTTCTTACCCGATTCGAGAGATTAAAGAAAACTTGGATTGGGTTAACCTTATTGCCTATGATTTCTACTGTTCATCCACAATCATTGGTCCACCCGCCGCTCTGTTTGATCCTTCAAACCCGAAAGGTACAAATATAAGTGACTAAACCAACAAAGGAAAGTGAGTACTTTTCATTTTGGTTCGTCAAAGGTTTAACTGTAATAGAATTTGGTAAATTTGGTTGATAGGTCCATGCGGGGACTCCGGTTTGAAAGAGTGGATTAAGGCCGGACTTCCAGAGAAGAAAGCAGTCTTGGGATTCCCATACGTTGGACGGACCTGGAGTCTAGAAGGTGGTAATGATGCGGCCACTACCCCAGTACCTACATCAGCTAAGGGTTATATCAACTATAATCAGATAAGGAGGCTCATAGTGGATCACAAAGCAAGACCGGTTTATGACTCGACGGTGGTCGGAGATTACTGTTTCGCGGGGACTAGTTTGATTGGGTACGATGATCATCAGAGCGTCGTGACGAAAGTGAGATACGCTAAAAAGAGAGGTTTGCTTGGTTACTTCTCATGGCATGTTGGAGCTGATGATAATTCTGGTCTATCTCGTGCAGGTTCGTCTTTTTGTACTTTTAAATATTTCTTTTATTTTTCGTTAACATTTTCACAACGGCGATGCTGTTCTCTTTTTTTTTTTTGTGAACTGCAACAAAAAGTATATATTTGGTGTCCTATCGGATAAGTCTTATATATGGATTTTTGGAAATTTTGCAGCATCGCAAGCATGGGATGCTAAAGAGACAGCCAGCGGAGACAAGATGAGTTCCGAGTTAAACCAAAAGAAAAAGATTAGTTCCGACAACCACAAAAGACGAAGAAATAAATAATGACGAGTGAAGAATAGAACATGTTGGCTTATGTTATTGTAAGAAATATAAAACACGTCTGCGTATCTTGTTTTCACGCTTGCTAATTAAATCTTTGTAAACAAAAATAATTAAATAAAGTTTGATTTCTATAAAAATACGCATTATGAAAAAATATCATGTATGCATGCATGTATATATAATCTGAAATATGACACTTGTAAAGCCGCTTGTAAATTTGTATTATCATGGTTTTCAGAGAAATGAACATTAGAGAAATCTTCTAAGAACTAATTATATTATATATAACACCAAAACATAGATATTTTAAATGCTCCTTTTTATTAAATAACACATCGTTTTGATTTGTAAATATTAAACGAATAAAACTCTATTAAAAAATCAAAACAATCCAACAAAACTAGTTGTTATTGTACATGTTACCACAAAAACTACAAAGACCAGCAAAAAGTTGTTGATTCGTAGCTGATACTTTAAGCGGGAAGATAAATAGCAAAACTGATAATTAACGTAGGGGGTTTTCTTCACCGGTTAAGACGGTGCACCGAGATAAGATGCGAGCCTTAGTATGTCGCTGAATATACCACCAGCCGTGACTTGCGCACCAGCTCCAGGTCCTCGGACTATAAGTGGATGATCCTTGTACCTTGTCGTAGTGAATGCTATTATGTTATCTGATCCTGCCAGCTGCGCAAATGGATGTTCTTTCTTGTATCTTCGAAGTTCAACTGTTCCCTTTTGGTTAACTGCGTCCACCACTCCAACATATCTCAGGACCTATATTCAAGTTTACATATATATGGTTAATATGATCACATTGATCAAAAAGGGAAATAGCCGGATTTAAAAGTCATCAAATGGAAAACGTTATCTTACTTCCCCAGAGTTCTCAGCTTCTAGCCTTTCTTTTGCTAGGTCTCCATCGTACTGTGGGAGTTTCTCCATGAATTCTTCAGCAGAAGTGCATCCCTGAAAATAGTATTAGAAAGGAGAGATTAGATGCAGACAATGCTGATTTTGCTGTTAATGAGATGTACATATACAGAGATCTTTTACTTTTAGAGGTTCTGGTACGAGACTTCTAATAGGAAGATCAGAGAGGTCCAATTTCAGTCCAGATTCTCGAGCGAGGATTATCACCTGCATAAACAGAAGAGTTTTGGCTCAATGAGAGAGACTATCATCAGTTGCAGAACTTTGCTAGGTCAGTTTGATACATAGTAATGATAACGTACCTTCCTTGCAACATCAGTTCCAGATAAATCATCTCTTGGATCAGGCTCAGTAAAACCTGCGTTCTTTGCTTCAGCGACAACCTCGCTGAAACTTCGATCTCCAACAAAGTTGTTGAATAGATAACTTAAAGTACCACTGGAGGAAAGAACAAAAAAACAAAACCCAAAAGAGATTTCATCAGAATTGGCAGCAGAAAGGACCTCAGTGTGAAACTGTGGTGGAACTTTTAATCAACAGACCTGCAAATGCCCTCTATGCGTAGTATCTTGTCTCCTGTCTCAAGGAGACCACGTAAAGTGCTGATAATTGGAAGACCAGCTCCAACAGTGGCTTCATAGAAATAATGAGTGTAGGATTTCCTTTGAAGATCTCTTAGTTTCAAGTACTGAGCACACAAACAGAGAAACATCAGTGGAGTAAGAAACCAACTCAGGACAGAAACATTTCATATTGAGTTTCTCAAACAGAGATTGAAAACAAGTATACTTGATGAGAAGAATATATCACCTGATCAAGGGGACCTGAGTTAGCCTTTTTATTTGGGGTAATGACGTGGATTCCCTTTCGTAACCAATCATAGTAATGGCTCGCAATAGCAGAATCTGCTGTACAATCAACCAATACAGAGTTGGGGATAAAATGGTTTCCATGCACTTGTTGAGTGAATTTATCCATATTGGCCTCTGTTCCCTTCTCGTTTAGAAGTTCTCTCCATCTTGACAAATCAATACCACTGCAATAAACAACAAAGGTACAAGTCATGTGGTGTTAAAACAGAGAAAATCATCCGCAGTTTGAAACCAAGCTTAGGATTTACCAGAAAATATCAGCTATACAAGAATTGACTTTCAACTCATTAATACAGCAATGCTAGAGAAGAAAAGCGAAAAGGCATCTCTTGAACGGTAATAACGGATAGATAAAACACAAGATATCAATAAAGGGAGAGCCATGGGCCAGATATGCGAAATAGGAAACTAGGTAAATCTTCTACGATGCATATGGATTCTGATCAAGAGTTTGGGATATTTGTCTCTTTAGAGAAAAGTATAATAGGCAGTCATGCCATCAAATAATGGATCAGTGTGTCTTTCAAATAAAACCCTACAACGCGTCAAAATCAAACAACTGTACAGAAGAAGTCATTCTTACATGTCACTTAATAGCATAGTCTTTGAACCAGTGATTCCCATAACACGCAGATCAATATTAAATTCTTGTTTGAGAACAGCAGCCTGGAAAACATAATTAAATGCTTAATCAGCTTTGTAAAGGACGAATAGACCCAAAAGGAAGGTAATGTAGCATTTTGTATAGACTGAACAACATTATTAAGTTCACCTGGTCCCTCAGCTGGTCAAGTAATGTAGCACCTATCAAGCCCGGTCCTATGATTCCCACTGCTAATGTCGTTCTTGACAAGAAAAACCTCGAGTGCACAGCTCTTAATGCCTTAACGCTATCTTCACGTTTAATAACGACAGTAACATTGTACTCAGAACAACCTTGAGATATAGCACGGACATTAATATTAGCCTGCAGGTGAGATACAGAAACAACGAATTACAGGGGATCAATTTGGCAAAGGAGAGTGTATAAGATGGATGATCCCTTATCATGATGGTTACAGTATTGTGTAATAATCACCTTCGCCAAAGCACTGAAAAGTGTACAACTAACTCCAGGTGTACTAGCCATTTTCTGACCGACTGCAGCTAAGATGCTACAGTTCGGTATCACCTCAATCTGAGAAAAGATAATATTGTTCAAAATAGTGAACTGGCGAAGAAAAAAATAATCAAATATATGCTTAATTAGATTACACAGAGATGACCTGTGCTAGGTAAAACAGAAATTAAAGAGAGAGAGACACCTGAGAAAGACGTCCAGCTTGTAAAGCTTCACTAAATCTTGACCGTAGTGCCTCAGAAACGGCATTTACTTCCTTCTCAGGCACAGCGAAGCACACAGAATGCTCACTGCTAGCCTGAACAATGAATATATCAATGGCATAAGCCTCTGCCTCTAAACTGAAGAAAATTGCTATAATACTAAGGTTAAGTTTGAAACTAAGGCACCTGTGATATCATAATCACATTAGCTCCAACATCTTTCACACAGCCAAAAATGTCACTTGCAGTACCGGGTACACCAGCCATTCCAGTACTGTCAGAATGAATTGGAAGAGATCAGTCAATAGGAGAGGTATCAATGTAGCTTGTCATTTAAAAGAACAGAAATAAAACCCGGCAAATGTAGCTTACCCTTCAACATTTATGAGCGCCAAATTGTCAATAGTTGCAAACCCTTTGACAGGAGTTGTCAGTTTAAGGTCATAATCATCTTCAGGAGGTTGACAGATTATTGTTCCCGGTGCAGAGAGATTGAAAATATTTCTTATCACAATCGGAATATTATACCTCATCACAGGAATGATGGTGCGAGGATGTAAAACATTTGCTCCAAAATAAGACTGCATTAAGTTAAGAATTGTAATCAAAAGTTTGAACTTGGCATGATGAAGCTCCTGAATCTAGGATAACAAGAACACTAGGTTTACCATTTCCCAGGCTTCCTGATAAGAAAGTGTCTGGAGAATTACTGCCTCATTAACTGCAGCAAAAACTTATTGTTATAGTTACATCATAGAATAAAATGGATTAGAGGCAAAAGAACAGGACATACCTTTACGAGGATCCGCACTGTATACACCATCAACATCTGTCCAGATTGTTACTTGACGAGCCCTCAATAGAGCACCCATAATAGCCGCAGAGAAATCACTCCCATCTCTTTTCAAAGTTGTTGGAATGTTTTGCGGGGTGCTAGCAATGAACCCAGTAGCAATAATAATTTTCGATGGATTTAAGGAGAACCACTTATCGAGTCTCTTCTCAGATTCACCAAAATCAGGATCGACCTGATTAGAGCTGGTGGGATTAACGATGAGCACGTCTCTAGTATCCATCCACTTGCACTCAAGCCCAGTCTACAGTCAAAAGAATAGAGAGATGATAAGTGTACAACCTCAACTATTTCACATACAATCATCATACGCATAATTCAAACCTTTCTGACAACATATGATAGCATCTGAGCAGACCAAAGTTCTCCATGTCCTGCAACAAAATCTGAAAACGACTCTGATGCATGGCCGGCTGCAAATGAAAGATGTCAGTTTCTTCCTCTGAAGCAAGACTCAAAGTAAACAAGAAACATAAATAAGATTACTATCACACTACCTATGTATATCGCACGAAGCATTGCTTTAAGATTACTAATATCATTATGCAAATGTGACAAGAAACTAGCGAGATCATCCCCATCGAGAAGGTCACGAGCTGTCAACCGGTGCTTTTCCAAGACAGCTTCCAACGCAGATAAATAAGAATCATCTCTTGATTGTGCCTTGCGGATTAAGTCATACATCATATCTGTCACCTTCGACATCGCCGAGACAACCACAAGTTTCCTTTCCGAGTTATCATTGATTATAACCTCTGCTACATTCCTAATCCTCTGAGAATTTCCCACACAAGTCCCACCAAACTTATGAACACTCCACATTTCACCTTTAGGAATCTGAACTTGATCCACGGAAATCACCGTCGATACACCTGAAACTGAAACCAAATTGAGCAAAACATTTTGACTACAATTCCAAAAAGCTCATATGTCAAGATAAAACAAAAAAAACTAACCAATAGTTGCTGTAGCTGATAGATGAAAATCCGGAAGCTCACATCGAATCAAACCGCCGCCACCACCACCAATAGTCCGCCGAAACCTGGGAAAT